TTGTCTCCCTGTAGCTAAAGCTTGGTTTCCTCTGTAAAATGGGGAGCCAGCAGAGTGTCAGACGCACAGTTGGCATCCCTGTTTTGTCTGCTATCATAAATGTATGTACCCTGTGGAGAGCAAGGCCCACCTTTCCTTGTTTGCCAAGCAAGCAGATGAGCACCGATTTATGAACAAAGGTAAAATATGAGGGAAATGTTTGGAGCCCTTGTTCCCCTTGGTTTGATTGCACCTCAAGAGAGAAGAGAGCTGATGTTTTCATGTCACTGTGAAGTGACATGGAGCCTAGCAGGTCTCCATACAAACTCAGCTCATTTACCTGGGAGTGGACAAGCTGTTGCTTCCCCAACTTGCACCACTTCCATTGTGTCAGAAAGAGAGTAATGCAAGAAAGAGTCCTGAAGAGGGAAAATCATGCCAGATTGCCAGAGATGCTTTCATAAAAGTAACCATTTCTGCTACATGGTTCTTCATTGTCAAGTTGTTTCATATGATGGTAATAAGTTCCTATACAAGCAGCTTGGAATCGATTAATCGAGACACAAACCGTTACCAACATGAAGGAGTTTAAGAAAAGATCACCCAGCAATCTACTGGCAGTGTCACTGCAAGCTGAGAGAATACAGTTTGTAAATAAGGAGAAAGGCAAGACCAGTTACAAACACAAYGACTGGAACTTTAGTTGGCTGATGACACATGGGGAAAGCCAAAAAATTTACCGACAAGCTAGAATTTACTGTCCCAAAATAAAAGTCACAGGGTAGTTGTAGTAGGTAGGACAAGCCTGCTGCACCTTGGCCTCTGGGGTATAGTGCCTCTTCATCCTCATTGCTGGGAAGGAGAAGGGCAGATAGGTTGCCTCCGTGGCTGGTAAAACAGTATTGACTCTTTGCACTTGTGAGGCGTGTGCACCAGTCCAGCTCTACTGGCTCCCCAAAATGGGTCACATGAATTTCTGGCAGACACATAAGCAGCCTGGACATCTCAGTGCTCACATTGTGATAAAGACACCCAGGAGCAGCACGTGAAGCTGATGAGCACTGCATGGTAATGAAGCTGGAGAAGGCCTTCCTCCTGGAAGGAGAGTTGTCTGCAGCACAAGCTGCCCTGAGGAGGAGAGGTGCTCCTCAACCAGGCTGAGGTCAGCGTCCAGAGCAATGTGGCATTCATTTGTCTGCAGCTGTGAGATCCTAATTTATTGTCTCTAAACCCATTTTAAGATGGGAGTTTGTGATAAACAGCCTAAGCTGGAGGTTGTGCAATAACTCCTAGGAGGATCCTAGTTTTCCTTCCTGTACTGTGTCTGCGAGACAGGGGATGTTGGGCTTTTGACCTGAAGTCATCACGAATCCCACCTGGCACACACAACAGTAAACTGGGAATCTTACCAAGTAGCGTCTCTCTGCCAGCATTTTGCATTGCCAATTTCCTTACAGAAGGTAAGCGGTCATTGCAGAAGATTAAAGGCACAGATGACTTTGGAGGTAAAATTGCCAAAGTCATGCGTGAGAGAAGGCATCAAGAGAGCACAATTAATGCTTCAATTCTCTATTGCACTGACTTTTCCTTGGAGGAAATGTCAACTAAAGCATCTCTCCAGTTCCTGAGGCTTCTATTGAAGTGGGAGTTGTTGTGTTTTAACTTGGAAAACTAAAGAACCATGATGCTGGGTGGCTGCAGATAATAATAGCCAAAGCTCCCTGAAATGTCTGGGGACAAATGCCACTGTCATCTAACAGTTTGTTTTCAATCTTAATGGGTCCCTTAATTTTAAGATTGCTTTCATACTGCAATCTAAACTCTTATAGGCCTTACCTCTTCCTTGCACATGGTAAGAATTTAACTGACCCCTTCTGTACATGCAGGATACTTTCACAGGAGAGGCCAGATGTCCTTGTGCACATCTTGAAACCCTCTCTACAAGGATGATTCCCTCAGTCTCACTGAGACCATCCACTTGGTAAGAGGAAAACACTTGCTGAGAGAGTAGAAGAAGTAATTTTTCCATTTGGGKCACYCTTTCAGGRAAAYGAGYAGCCTCCCAGCTACTTCTGTCTTCAACATAAGGAAGTAAATCACATGTCCTAACCATGGATTGGAAATGACAGAAGGTAAGGAAGTGTAGAAAACTAGAAAAACACCTTGCATTAACTGTTTTATAAGTAAATGCAATTAAAAATGGCTAATAAGAGATGGAGAAAAATGGTTGCTTATATTTAAAGTCTCTCTCTATGCCTRTATAGCTCCTTGATGACTCTCAGATTGGCCACTTTATTTCCAAATGAAAAGTACTTTCAGTTCCTTTTTGCTTCTTTGTGTGCTGCTTATGCGCACCTCCAGGACAATCAGCCATTTGCTCACTGACTTCCTTTCAACTGAGTTTGTAAGCTGGGACACTACATGGATGCAGTCTGACATTTCCTTTTAGCTGCTCAGCCCAGTCTGAAGGGCAAAAGTCTGATTCCAGAACAATATGGATGGAAATGAACTTCATAACTAGAATATCCTTAATGATAGCTGTAGTTTGGTAAGACCTGCAAAATTTGATGGAGAAGTCCATGTGCTGTAGATCCACCTCGTCCTGTCCTACCCATTCCAAATCCCTGTAAAGATTAGGTCTGCGTTGCACTAAACCTAGAGGAAAGACAAAGGAAGGAACTGGAACTCCAGGGCTGTGCTTTAGGCAAACACGATAGCAAGGGGGACACTGTTTAAGTGAAGGGATCACAGAGGTATGTGGTAAAATATGATAAGAATTGTGGCATTGTCACATTGTGAAACTGTGACAAGAAATGATTTCCAAAGAGCTTCGGAAAGAAAGTGCCAAACTCTTGTTGACTTCCACTTGCCTTTTCAAGCATCTCTCTACACGCAAACAGGATTCCAAAGTCCACTGTTAGAAGTGCCATAATGATGCACAACTTGGGCTGAGAACAAGTCATAAGACCTGCACTGAGCATAAGACAACCATAGGAGACTCCTCCTGTCATGTTTGTGAAAGGATAGGCTTTGGCCTGGAAAGCTAGAGAAAAGGGAATCTCAACATGCTCTAGAGTGCACACCCTGCACTGCCACACACAGCAGAAACCGGAGTACAGTGCAGAGCCTCAATAAATGGCAGAGACCAAGCAGTATTGTCACTAGGATCTAAAAGAATTGGCAGTTACACTGGGAGTAGTATGAGCAACAAAAATATCCCTTCTTAAAGGTGTAAACTCCATAGTCTGGTCCTGCTCTCCTGGTCTGTGCTGCATGTTTCATTTTACCCTGACTCATCTCTTCAAGACTCTTGCATGAAGAGTTTCTGCGTGAAATGACAGCATGTGATTCTGTGTGTGTGTGCTCTGTACATTGCTCCCTTCCATTTAGCAATACCCTCCCCTGCATTTTTCTCTGTTTTTTTTTTTTCAAATTTAGTGAGAAAAGCATTCTTTCCAGATTGTGTCAGGTACCTTGCACTTGCTGATTTCTTTGACTG